TCGGATCTGATCGAAGCATCTTCACATTCCGTCCAAACTGTGTACGAATCATCGTCAAGAATTCAACAGCAACATCAAACAGCTCAGACTTCAAGTGAAGAAAGTAAACCCAGGTGTACCGTGTGGCATGGTCAATGAAAAGAGCAAAATACTTGTAACCATTGCGAGATGTAGTTGGGGCAGGCCCCCAGAGATTAGTATGCACTAGATGAAATGGTTCGGTAATCACAGTTGAACTAGACGGAAATGAAATGCTCTTAGCCTTAGCTTCAACACAACCAGAACAGGCAGGATGGACCGAAAGAACAACTGATTTATTACCAAGTAAATTCTGTTTGAACATAAATTGCAAATGATGGGAATTTGGATGGCCTAAACGCCGATGCCATAGACTCCATGGATCACTAGACTCATTGGACAAAATAACAGGAGAAACCGACAAAAATTCAGACCCACTAGACACCTGCGAACAAGAAGAGGACTCGGCAACTGACACAGGAGCCCGACTCGACAACTCCTCCATCGTAAAAGTGCGACCACATTTACTCCCCCTTCCGATCAGCCTCCCCGTCGTTAGATCCTGAACAAAACATCCAGAGGGTGCAAATAAGACAGAACAATTCTCGTCAGTAAGCTGGCCAACCGAAGCAAGATTAGGTGTCAATTTTGGAACATGAAGTACGTTATTCAGCTTAAGACAAGAATCAACCAAAGAACCAAGTCCTGAAACGGGAATATGAGATCCATTTGCAACCTGCAGGTTTAAGTTCTTCACAAGAGTAACATTACGTAGTATGTTGGAATTACTCGTCATGTGATTAAAGCATGCCGAGTCAAGAAACCAGGGTTTAGAGTTACCTGACACTTGAAGGGCAGCAAAGGCTGAATTAATGGCATCCAGAATGGACTTTTGCAAGGCAGATTGGATCATCTTCTCAACTGTGTTGGCGGACAGGGCCGAAGTAGCAGTGGAGGCATGCTACGCGGCAAAAGCAGGAGCAGCTGTGTGACGAGCTGGACGAGGACCTGTCTCTGCGCGCGGAGGGTGGGAGGAGCCATTCGAAGCATACTGGCTACGACTCTTCAAGGTACGACAGTCACTAATGATATGCCCCGAACGTTTTGCAATACACGCAAAAGTTGCGCTTGCGACAGTGCTTCTGTACGTGTCCCTTCTCATCACAGAAGATGCAAGTCAGCTCGGAGGCAGGTCGCGGGGCGAATTGAGCGCGATGAGCCGCATACGCAGTGGTATCGGAGTCCGCAGCAATTGCGGAGGAGAAAACAGCCTCGCCCCCGCGAGGACGAGCATCCAACTTCTCCTGGGTACGGAGACGGGTCTCTTCTTGAATCAGGCGGCCCAAGACACCTTCAAACGAGAGGTTATCTTGATTCATCAAGCTGGAGCGAACTGGTTCGAACTCCGGGCGGAGTTTCATGAGAAACCGCAGCAGCCGAGAGTGATTCCTTTCAGCGCGCACATCTTTTCAGACCTGGGCAGATCGGAGAGAAGCCAAAAGTAAGTCTTCTTAAGTCCAAAGCCGAACAGAATCATTGTAATAGGTAGCGACGTCCATATCGCCTTGCTTCAACAGAGACAACTCGTTCTCAATTTCGAATTGCCGAGTTGTGTTCTTGGTGGTGTAAGTTGCCGCAAGATGCGACCACATCTCAAAGGCCGTCGAGAACAGCCGAAGTCCCAACACGATCGAGGGATCAACCGATTTCAGAATCCAATTCTTGACCCTCGCATTATTCATGGTCCAGCGATCAACCTCTTGCGCGGAAGCAGGTGGCGATGCGGGCTTCTTCTGAGTACCATCAAGGATCGACAGGAGACCCTTGCCTTCAACAAATATAAGGAACTGAAATTCATAGACAGCATAATTCTTCGGATCAAGACGAATACTGAGGCGATCAGAATCACCGGTCGACAGCTCTGATACCATGTTAGACAAAATGAAATTGCGGAATAACAAAGAACAAATCGATTTACGTGGTATCCCTGAGTGTTCAGGACTAATCCACGGGAGAGCCTCAAGACTCTCCGAGCTACTGCTTGTATTGCTTAGTTAACCCTCAAGTTACAATTACAAGCATATATATGGCCAAACTCGGCAGCATTAGGGAAAAACTGAAACCCTAACTACACGTCCCCTACATGGGCCAGATGCATGGGCCAACTCACGTTCATGGGCTTTAACAAATAGTTCATTTACCTTGTATCTTATGACAAGTACAAATGGTTGGCTACCAAACGAATCTGAGTTTCGTTATTGTAAGCTCGAACGTAAGTCTTTAACTAAAGAATTAGGTGACTTATCAGATCCGAATGTGTCAACTAAAGTCTCACAATTCGTTGGACCAAATTTCTTCTCGAAATGGAAGAGTTGTTAACAAAAATTGGGATATATACATAACTTCCACAACAACAAAAAAAATCGAAACATGCAAGTTTACACTGGTTTGCTACTCATATATCAACGATTTTACAAGTGGACTACAAGTAACAACTACCTTGTGTGCTACATTAGAAAAAAAAATTCAATCCAAAGCTTAGTACAAATTTTGATATAACGAGGCAATCGACAAAGCAAGAATAAACGACATGAATTTGCTGACAAAATGTGTGCTAATTTATAAATGGGTTAATAGAATAGATTGTCCCTCTATTACTGTATTTTCTAAAACCTGCCACTCTACTATTTTTCACATCATATTTGCCCCTCTACTATAATTATGTTATCAAACCTACTTTTATATTATAGTAGTAAGAAAACCCGCGCTCCGCGCCGGGATTATCAGGATGTTATCTTCGAACAATGTCGGGTAAAAGATGCAACTGGTGCAGAAATGCAGTGCACATGGGGAATCGATTGGCTGAGTACAATAGGAATGTGCATTCTATAGTGCATTGATCAAAAATTGACTTTAATTGAAGACACATAAGTACCTAAAAAACTCATAAATATGTGTTCTCATAAGTTAAAACACTAACTACAACGGGACCGGATACGGTGACAACCCCCTTAGGGGTTGTCAGATTGACAACCAAGGGTATTTTGGGTATGAAAAAAAGGAATATATGAATTACCTTTTTTGTATTAATCAGATTGGGATTTAAAAACCCATATTAAATACAATTTTTTTGAAATTTAAATCCTATACATTAATATCTCTATCTATCTCTCTCTCTTCCTTTCTCTGCGGCCACTCCGCTTCGATAGACAGACTTTTTCTCCGACGAATTCTCTCCGGCAGACTCCCTCCGGCAACATGAAAAAATGTACCAGTGCGTTAAAAAGTGTACCAATCCATTAGTCTACTGGTAATTAATATACCAGTGCTAGTGGTAAGCTACTAGTGCGTTAAAAAATGTACCAATGCTAGTGGTACGCTACCAGTGCTAGTGATACGGTACCATTACCACTTGTAGCGATACCATTAGCAGTACCAGTACCATTGGTAGCAGTACCAGTACCACTAGTAGCGGTACCATTGCCACTGGTAGCGTACTACTAGAGACTAGCACAAAAAAATCAGATCTGAGATATGAAAAATCACAGATCTGAAAAAAAAATCTGGGATGACGAAAGGGGGAGGCAGGGGAGAGGCGGTGACCTCGTGGTGACGGTGGTGGTGGGAGACAGAGGGCGGCGGGAGGGTTGCGACGGCGGTGGTGGTGGGAGGAGGAGGCCGCGATGGCTGCTGCCTGCGGGGCGGTGGTGGGAGGAGGAGCTCGTGATGGCTGCGCGGCGAGGAACATGACAGTGCTGGGAGGCGTAGGGCGCGACGACGGGAGGATTGTAGCAGTGATGAGAGGCGGAGGGCGTGGCGGGTCGGCATGACGGCTGCGACGACGGTGGTGGCAGCCGATAGAGAGAGAGGGAAGAGATGGGAGGAAGAAGAAGAAGAATAGGAAGAAAAAAGATGGCGTGAGAGAGAGAGAGGAAAGAGAGAATGTAGGGTTTTAGGTATTAATAGGGGTAATAATCTAGTGTGGTCAATTTTTTTCGTCCAAAAATACCCTTAATCCAATCTGTACCATTGATTTGAAAAAGATAAGAAAGGGACAAGAGAGAGAATGAATCCTATGGTTACAAAATGGGTTGTCAATCTCACAACCCCTAATGGGGTTGTCACCGTATCTCATCCCAACTACAACATCACAATAAGCATTAGATGGCAACACACGACATGTAATGTAGTTCATATTTAAAGCAGAAAACATAGTAGGAATTGAGAAGCATTTGTTTTGCTACTTAAAAACATGAAATACAAAAAAACAACATTGAAATTCATGTATTTTAATCCTGCTTTCCCCTGATTCTTCCTTTATCAACTTATCCATTCCTTAGTCTTAATAGCTTAAACAAGGGTAAATTGTAAGTTTGGTCACTAGAATTACTTAAAAAGTTCACGTTTGCCACTAAAATCAATTTATTTCATCCGTAGTCACTTAAATTAGTTCAACGGTTCAAATTTGGTCACTCTCCGTTAGTCTCTGTTAACTTTATCTGACGTGACAGTCAACTCTAATATTATTTATTGGATTCGTAATATTTATAGGTTCTTTTCTGTTTTGGTTGGAATAATATAAAAATATCTTTCATCATAGTTATCTTTGGTTTACCTCCAAGCTTACGTAAAAAGAAAAGAATTACCGCCAAGCTTCTAATTTGGGAAGGACCGCGCTTTTCCCCCCCTCCATCCTTGTTTAAGTTTACCGCCGGCTTCTCCAATTATATATAATAATAACCAAAACCCTACACAAGCTAAGGATATGGGTGATCTGTTGGGCAGTGGCGCCGAAGACTCCTTTGAGAATTGAGATAAAATCCCAAGAAACACTACTTTGGCCAAAAGGTAAGTAATTAATTGATTTTGCCTCTGCTTTTTTATTTCGCTCACTGCTTAAACTTGTGAACTTGCTTAGTAGTTTATTAAATCTGCAATATGTTATCTCATTAATCTGCACTTTTCTTGAATCCAGTTCTGCGATGATCGGTATGATGAAATCTAAGGTACCAGAGAATGGTAAGAGTAAAGTCAGCCACCCTACGTCAACCTCATTGAAGAAAAAATCACAACATCAAGCTAAGGTTGCAATTGGAATGACTGGTCCAATTCCCAAGCGTAGATCCCAAATGCAACTCAAGGCCAAATCCGATACACAACCTCTCGGAGATGCAGTCCAGGTCTCGAGAAAGAATGCTGGATATTCAAAAAAAGTGTCTATTCCAAGCAAAAAGTTTAGATCTTCACAACCTATTCCTGCCAAAGCTAATCACTTCAACTTGCATCGAGGATCTTCGTCGCTACACAAAGGAACAACGTCGAATGATTTTGAGGAAGACGATGAAGATTATGAAATGGAAGACGATGGTGAATACGACTCCACCGACCAAGATTGTACTGAAGAGGAAGCTGAGGATGCATCGGAGATAGAACCTAACACTGAATTTGTCTATCAATAAGAAAACTCAGGTTTATGAATAACATTTCCAAATCTTATTCCTTGTTTGCGTAATTTTACTGAATCTGTATTTATACTTTTCTCCATTTTGTACACAGCACATAAGAAAACAAGGGGTCCTACAAAATGAAAGGTGATTCATGCTCGAGAACTTGAAGAACGTGATACTGTCATTGTTGACGAGTTTGGACAAGCGATAAAGAATGATAAGATTTGCGACCAATTCAGTAGTTTCTTGGAAACTGTGGCACGTAACAACAAGTTGCTCCCCCTCAATTATGTTACATGGACATATGTTCCAAAGGAGAAAAAGCTCAACGTGTTGAATTATGTCAATGTATGTATAACACTCCTATCCATATTTAGTTTCCCTATTGCAATCTGATTTTTTCAGTAATTATATGAAACCCCTTGTATCATGTAGTCCAAGTATGTGGTTCCACCCATTGGCCACAAGTGGGTTATGAAGACGATATCATCAGCTTGGAGGAGGCATAAGTGTAACACAAAAGCACACATGAATCAGTTCGAAACAAGGGCTGAGAAGTTGGCGAATTTTCCGGATACGATCCCCAAAACTGTAATGGAGCATCTTTTGGATCATTGGGAGAATACAACTGTGATGGTAATCTATATGTTAATCAATTATCTTGCTCTGTCATGGAGTCCTAAAACGTCATACTCCATTCAAATTGCAGGAGCAAAGTGACCGAAACATTAAGGCTCGACAAAGTCAAGCTACACAACATAGAGCAGGAAGGAAGAGCTACGCACGACATCGCGATAAACTGGTACATTAATGTGGGGTACATTATATTTCCATGATTTCAGTTCTTATAGTGAGTTTCTTGTAACTGTTTGTTGACTTCAAGTAGAAAGAGGAGAAGGGAAATGATGAAGAGCCAACTGAAGTTAAAATGTTTCTCCGAACTCGTAAGATGAAGGAAGGTCAAGATATGGACGAACGTACAAGGGTACGACTGAATATTATGTCAATAATTTCGTTAAATGATTATTGTATCTCATCTCCCGTTACACCTTAGGTTCAAATGGAGGGGTTGCAAAGTTTCGTTGCTGGACAAGAAGAAGATCAAGAACAAGAAGCAACTTTAAGGCCTAGTTTACGATTCCATGGAAGAGGAGTTACTCCAACAATTTTAAAGAGAAAGTACGAGGCTTCTGGATCAAATCAGGAAAAGGGGACGACCACAAACACATCTATGCTTCCATCAGATGTGCAAAGCAAGTTGGATGAACAAGCATCACACCTGTCAAGTGGATTACGTAGTGTTGTGGCAAAGTTGAAGGAGTCCAATCCAACCCTTGTCATCCCCCAGAACATGTTTGATTCCTTGATGGTGAGCCATCTTACGGATGCTAGCATGAGTGGTGGGAAGGAAATCCCCAATGCAAACGCAACAGAATAGACTTGGTCAATTGATACATGTTGAGAGTTTCGACTACTGTTAAGTTTCTGTTATTTAGGGAGTAGCTGTTGCTATTTTACCTACCTTATTTTCTGCTTTCTATGAATAAAACCAGAACTGTTGCTTCAGCCATTTTATGTGAAACTTCAGAAACTCCTATTTTTGTATCTTACCACTTGTCCAGTGAGGTTAGCTATTCTTTCTTAGTAACTCAGGCTTTTTGTATCTTACCACTTGTCCAGTGAGATTTTCCACACAGCAGACAACAGTAGCCACGATAGATCCCTATTCCTAAACACAAGGTTGCTTCTTCTTCCCAAGAATGAAGTCGTCAACTAACTCATCAACATGCACACGACAAGAGAAACACAAGGTTGCTGCTTCTTCTTCCCAAGAATGCACTCGTCAACTAACTCATCAACCTGCACACAACAAGAGAAACGCAAAATTCAAACAATGAAGCATATGAAATATATAAGTAAAAATACAGACTGTAAATTATTCTGTACTGCAACGAAATGGTACAGACAAGAAGGGGTAAGTCTACAGTCTGCAGGCAGTCATGCTTTATTGAAAAGAAACTGAAGGTGTGGAGAAAGACTGTGAAGAGAGAAAGAATGTTCCAGCAGGGAGGGGCAGCTCATGCTTGACTCTTGGTCTCTGGAAGGAACTTCTCCAATCATCAACATTAGAGGGATCGATGATCATATCATCACATGGAAAGAAGCCAGCAATCAATTGTCACAGTATTAAATGCATTAGGGCTTCTGGAAGTTTTGACAATATAATCAATTAGTTGATCATGATTAACTTGCTGAAGGGTAGACTAATTAACTTCATTATCCAAAGGAGAGTAAGTATTAAGATCAGATTACTGACATCCACTTGATCACATTCTGGAATCTAAACCTATTCATTGCACACATGACAATTTGTAGTCAAAAGAGTTGGCAATGGTAAAGTTCCTAAAAAGGCTCATGATTTTTATTCAAACCACAATTCAAACCACCAGCCTTTCTTTCCCAATTAAAGAAGAGACACTAAGCTGCTAACCTGAATAAAATTATTCAAAAAGTCGAAAGCCCCCTTAGTACTGACAAAATCAAAGAAAGAAGATGAAACCGACTCATAGTAGAGCAGAAAAAAAAGAAGGAAGAAATTCTTTGGATAATACCAAGAACCCATGTGATTAGAAACTCACCAAAGGAGAACATAAACCACTTCAAAGCTCTGTAGCTTAAAATGGGAACACCTCAGACCTGCGAAAGACAAAAGAAAAAGAAATCACTTGCACTCTACAGCTACAAGTTACATGGACAAATCCAGAAAAAAGCAGACAGTTCAAGGTAACTAATTTGATATCCTGCACATCCATACACATGCAAACTTAACAGATCAACTATTCATCCCATGTGCTCTTGCCTGCATAATTCAATTACTGAACAGAGACCAACGTTCTCCACTCATAACTATCTCACCCTTCTGATTAACATAGTCCATCTCGGTTTTTCTAAGATAATTAAAATAGCAGCAGCAAAAGTACTAGCATATATATGTCAAGTTCAAATTGCAAGCAAGGAAAAGTACTAGCAAAACAAAAACAGAAAAGCAGCAGTGAGTAGTTACTTCAGGAGCTTGATTAAGTCCTTGCACTCTCTGAATCCTCGAACACATCTGTAGGACAAAAAAGCATCAACACATTTAATAGGGTGTCATTTCGACTTCTACAATTAATCATCAAAACCAGATACCATGATCAAAGTTTGAGTGTGTAATGATTAACCAACCAGTCAGAGTATTCATCTACATCATCTGCAGGTTCTTCTTCACTTGAGAAACCGTCTTCATAATCATCTGACATTTCAGCTTCTCTTGAGTGTTTATGTACGTGCTCCATCATTTCAGCTTCACCTGAGTGTTCATTCTCCATCACTTCAGCCTCAGTTGGAGCACGATCATCCTGCATAGCAGTATCTTCAGGGTTGTCAACTAGTATTTCGTCGACGTCCTCCCGTGACCATTGAATGTCACTGTTATTAACTGGTACAACATTCTGCAAAGCATCAATTCTAAACTCCTGTGAAGAAGAAGCAGCCTCATCCAATGAACTTTCAGCTCCCAAGTCAAATAAGTCTCGTGGGATTGCCTCCATGCAATAGTGCCAATCTTGTTCCACGGGGTCTTGTACATAAAATGCTTGGCTTACCTGATTTGCCATGACAAACGGGTCATTTTGGTATAATAATTTCTTCATATTGACCCGAATAAGCCCGTAGTCATCCCTTTCCGAGTGAAACCACTTGCACTTGAGCAAGACAATTTTGAAGTGTCCATAATAATCCAACTGGAGAATCTCTTCAATAGCCCCATAATAAGCAACATTAGCGAGCACCGGGCTCTTATCTCTGGCACTAGCAAAACTAGAGGTCATGGCTGTCAATGTTACTCCAGTACTTTGTGTCTGACGACGCTTATCATGCTTAAGAGTATGAAACCTATAGCCATTAATAATGTATCCAGAGAAGCTTTGAACATTGGCATCATTCGGGCCAAAAGCTATTTGCTTTTGATAGTGTCAGAAGCAGCCCCATCATCTTCGACCCGAGACTCTAACCATTGTACTATATCTTGTGATTGGGTTACTCTCTTTTATCCACCCAGTTCCCCCCTTGCGCTTCTTGATTGGTGGTTGCTCGTACTCTCTGTAATTTATGTGAAAAAGATATCAAATTCATAGAACAATGCAGAAACTCAAGTCCAAAAAGAATCAAACAACTACTTACTTGAGATATGCTGATATTTCTGGAGAGTTATCCTCACAGTTGAATATGACATATCGTCGAGCTTGGTCCATAATACTATTTTCCAATTCAACAATCTTACCCTTCCCATTTCTTTTTGATACAATTGGTCGACCAATAATTGGGAATATAACTTTTCCATTTTCTTCCACACCCATCCCTTCGTGATTTCTTGAAGGCCTAGTGAATCTTGTATGACCATCCTCACTCAAATACCTTGAGCAGAATGATAAACATTCATTAGCTAGATACACTTCAGCTATGCATGCTTCTGGTTGACTTCTATTTTTTACATAGTCTTTCAAAACACCCAAAAATCTCTCGACCGAGTACATCCGTCAAGTTTGCACGGGCCCGCCAAGTCTAATCTCTTCTACCAAGTGAATAGGTAGATGAACCATTATATCAAAGAAGCTAGGAGGAAATATCCGTTCTAATTGGCACAATGTCTCGACAATCTTAGTTTGCAAGTGATCTAATTCGCTCAAGATTATCACCTTTCGACAAACAGCCTTGAAGAATGAACTAAGTCTGATCAAAACGATAGCCACATTCTTTGGCAAAGTTCTACGTACCGCAACTTGGAGCAAGTACTGCATAATAAAATGAGCATCGTGACTCTTGTACCTAGAGATTTTCTTCTCCTTCACATTAACACAGTGAGATATATTGGATGCACAACCATCTGGTACTTTAGCGCCTTTTAAGACCCCACAAAAAATCTCTTTTTCATGGTTAACCAGTGTATAACAAGCTTTCACCAACTTACTCTT